CTAGCATGGGTTACTGAAGATCAATTGTAACCCGGATCTTTACGGGTCTCATTCTTTGTGGGATGACACACCTGTAATGAATCTTTTGAAAACTGAGAAATGATTGTATTACCTCAGTAAATGATTCCACACGTGACATATACTTAAACACTTGAGCACACTTAAACATCCGTGTTAGAACTGATCTTCAGCAACCCTTACTTGTCAGAAGAGGCGACTGAGGAGTTGGATGGTCAGATCAGCGGACATTGCTTATGCATGTTATGGTATTTCAAAAGCATAGATCAATATTCATGATGCTAATCATTAGATTGTATGGTTCAGACTCGATCATAAGGAAGGTGTTTCAGATCCTTCCTTTGTCTTCTCCTTGGAAGAGTCCGGAATCTACCATGTGGACTATGACATCAGTTCCACAACAGAGGAATTCCTTCTAACAAGCCTGCAAGATGTGGAGAAGGTGTTCACGCCCCACATCCTCGTGCTGCTCATCTGTGACGTCACCACCACTGTTTCAGTCTTACGTCAATTGGTTAGTCATGTATCACATTCATACATAAAAACACAATGAACATAGAAGTCATGTTACTTCATAGCAGACAGAATGAGGCAACATACTGATCTTACATGTATATTGTATATACGGGGGTTGATTGATCAGTTCTCATCCTCACTTCGAAGACAAAAATGAGTGAGTGAGTGAGTCAATATTTATCGACACATCGGCAATATTTCAGCCATATTGTGACGAGTACAATTAATAATTATGTTATAGGTCAATAAATTAGAAATTAAAAGCCTGTTGACGAAGAGCAGTTAAACTACTAGTGCATCACATATATCCATTTAAAACTAGTAAATAAATCTAAAACTAGAAATGACAAGACAATGTAAAAACAGGCTATAGATCAACAGGCCAACAACGGGATGTAGATCACCGTGGGGACTTACAGTACATTTGCTTCCTCCATGGACTCGAAGACAAAAGCCTGATTCAGTTTGTGTCAGACAGGAATCAGTAAAATATACAGGGGCCACAGACCTTTGGCACATGGAGAGGTGGTCGGCAGAAGCTACACATGGCCGGGGTAGACATGAAAATGACCCCGATGGGGCCTAGTGTGCTAGCAACACCGGCCAGTATGTAGATTACTCCCGACATGTCATATTGGCAAATCACAGCGTAATGTTTCTTGGTCAGGGGTCATTGGTACATTAGACAATAGACACTCGTTTATTTCCCAAGCTTTTTACATTGTTAACAAAATACCAACAAAACCAATTCTATTATCATAAGAAATTTCATCTCCATCCAGAGCTTTATGTACGACAACTCCACAATGCCGTTTAAGAAGTAGTCAAAATAGAGTATACTAAACGACCTTCCGTGTAATACCAATTTTATTGAACGTGTTAATGATTTTCACAAGTTTAATACAAATGGTATTTCACGGAAGCGAGTTTAGTATTCTGTTTATTACTCTCCAACATAAATTGATAGAAACTGCCTACAGTGTGATGATTCTCATATCAACTTTCCGCCAGTCAAGCGCTGTAATCAGTATGACGTCATATGTCTAGCAGTATTACACTAGTGCAATATTGCCGTGAAAATATTACACTGCAGTATCTTCCGAGGGCGAGTAATAATGTAACATATGTTATGTCCCGGATTACACTTTCTTAGTAAGGCATCTCGAGTCTAAGAGAAGTGGAAAGCTACAAAAAGGTGTGTTCTTCCTCAAGGAGAATGCTCAAGTGCACAAATCAATCACTGACATTTGGCTACAACTGAAGAGGGTGGCGTTTCACTCCGTCAACTACCACCATATTCCCCTGATCTAACTCCGTCACCTACCACCATATTCCCCTGATCTAACTCCGTCAAGCACTCGTCTGTTAAGAAACCCTAGGTAAACCCATTGAAACGACATAGTAGACCGCAACACAATCATAGTTCTCTGTAGATCTGTCGTTCTTTCATCACCACTGGCAAATTGTATCAATGTAGATATTTTTGGTTTTCACATTAATATTTTTCGCTACGATCAAGCAACATAACAGTTGGTCCTCTATTTGTGTACACATTGTTACATGATAACTTTAACGTGAAAATTATATTTCCTTCACTAGTCTGGACTCTGTGGAACGAGATCCAACGCCTCTGTGGACTTCTGTCACATCTCACAGGTGCTGATTCTCGGGACATCCGATGACTTACCTGTTCTCCTGGACAGCAACATTCTGGTGGAGAACGTGGCGTTGTTGGAACTGCCTAAAGGACAGGTGAAGTATTTCTTCTTTGAATTATTAATTAATCAGGAATATTTTTGTGAACTTGTTCATTTGCATTAAAATGTCTTGTATGACACCACGTGGGTACAATGTGTGAAGACAGTTTCTGGTGTTCTCTTCGGTAATATTTTTGCAATATTGCTAAAAGCGGCGTAAAGGACATACTCACTCATTCACTCGTGTATTATACCGTGAAGGGAATCATATCTAGTCTGGATCCAGTGATAGATGGCCTGAAGTAACATCTCGCCTCATGAGTATGATGAAACATAGGCAGCAAGCAAGCAACTTGTAATCCTAATATTAGTGCTTTTGTGACATGAAAATTGGGCATTACAGGTGTTGTATCCCTTACACTTCTCTTTCAATCTTCTTTTAATGCACCGTAAAAGCTATGTGGATATGTTGATGACACGTTCCATATGACAAAACGTGGAGAGAAAAATTCATACATTATAAACCGCTCTTAATAGCAATAATCTGCACGAGATATCTAAAATTTATAACATGTAGGTTATTATTCCCTCCAAAGAAAGAAATTGTCCTAACTCTGTTGTTGCATAGCCTAGTGGTTGAAGCGTTCGCTCGTCACGCTGAAGACCCGGGTTCGATTCCCCTCATGGGTACAATGTGTGAAGCCCATTTCAGGTGTCCTTGCAGTGATATTGCTGAAATATTGCTAAAAGCGGTGTAAAACCCTAACTGTGTTCTTATATATAATCTTGACCTTTTATAATGTTTTTCTCTGATATTGATATCTTTGCAAAAACACATAAAGCATCAAATTTTAATTTGGCAACACTGGCAGCTCAAATAAACAGATATTTATATGATATATGATATATAACCAAATGTTGTTATGTTTATTTAAAGTGAGTTTTAAACTGAAATTTCAAATTGTCATTTTCTAACCGTTTAATTTAATTACTGTTTCCAAAAAAACAACAACGTCGCATTCTTCTGATAGTGGTGTACTTAATGTCGAAAAGTAATTCTTTCTGGATTAAGGAAAGAATGAACGAACTGTGAACACATCACTGGTAAACTCAAGAATGCAACTAACCTGAGATAAGTAAATGAAAAGTGTTAGCCGTTATCAATGCATACACATGATTGGACATTTCCGTGTTTATAATCGAATGGATTACATTATCTTTTCCGAATGTCTAGATGCCTATTATACTAGCAACACCGGTTAGTATGTCAATAACCGACAACATGTTGACGTCCGACTGACAAATGACAGAGTATTTTGTCTTGGTCCGGGTGCATTTCTCGGAGAGTACACTCCGTTAGGTCAGAAACTTTGACAATGAACGAAGTAGTCAAATATTCATTCATAGGCGCATCCAGGAATTTTCAAAGCGGTGGGGAGGGGGTTGGGTGTGTGATTTGGTGGAGGTTAGTTCGAACCCTCCCTTCCCCCTTGGTTCCGTCCATGTTCATTCATGCATCTGTGTCTGGTAACAGGGACGTGACATAAAGTCAAGGATGTGGACACTGATGTTTTACCCGAGTGGACGTGCTTTCAGAACAGTTGCTCTCTCTGACGAAACAGACACAAATCTTACAGAAGTGTTCCCCAATGTGAAGTTTGGTTACAACGGCCGACAGCTAACTGTCGTAATGAAGGTAACTGACGCTGATATGTGTTTGGTACTAATAACATTATTACAAGAGTAATGTTCGCAAGTTCGCAAGGTAAGAGGCGACTAAAGGAAAGGGATCGGTGGTCCGCCTCGCTGAGTTGGTTAATACATGTCATCGTATCCCAGTTTCGTAGATCGATGCTCATGCTATTGACCACTGGGTTGTTTGGTCCAGGCACGATCATTTACAGACCGCTGCCATATAGCTGAAATATTGCTCAGTGCGACGTTAAGTGCAAGCAAACAAACAACAATGTCCTCACGAAATACATAAAATAGTTATACACATAGAAAAATGTATCACAACGCCTTTGAATTTAACTCCCATATAGCTATATATATGCATACAATACAACGGGTTTTCTAGTATATTTTTACCTGTCCAGCCATTTTAGATATACATGTGCCATGACCAAAGGCGAGTCTCATGTGCAGTACGTGTACCTGTCATTAAACAAACATCAAATTTCACTAAACTGTCCTTACAGCTACAAACCCTAGTTTTGGAAGCAAATATAGCCTCCTCTGCTGATAACTGGTGAAACATGGCACGTTACTGGTATGTGGAATGCTGGGATGTCAATGAGGGCTATTGCTTAGAGATGTTGGCTATCATCCATTGACTATCAGCAATATAAGGGCGTTAAGGTCCGTCAGTGTTCAGGTCGACAACGAGTGACAACTCCAAGAGAGAATATAATCCCTTTAGAAAAGAGTTTGTCCAAAGGAACGGTTCAAAATTACCTAAAATCGGCCAGGTATGCAATCAGAGTTCTAGCAGAACTCCTTTGCTAACCCCAGAACACAGAGCAGCACGAGCAGCTTGTGGCAAGCACTGTCGTCATCGGAATTTGACTTCTTGGGAAGGGTCCACTTGTCGGACGAAGGTCGATATATTTTGATTATGTGCGTGGCGCAGAAACACTACATATGAACAACAGTATATCTTGGAACAAGTGCTGTTTGATGGGCTTCATTGGCGGTGTAGGGTACCTCTTGCATGTCTATAAACTCGATCTGGTGACGATCAGAGAAAATCTCAAAGAAGAACAGTACACCACGGATAACCCAGACAGGGTTGTGCCACATTTCGATGAACATCCCATGAACACAAGGCCAGACATCATGGACGACATTGTCACGTCGTGGACGTGGTGATATTTCTCACGTAATTGTGTAAGTAAAGGCAGTAGCAACCCTACCTTGGATCACTAGGAGTCAAGATCTCCAATAAAGCATGTTTGGGACATTATGGGTAGCAGAATACGCCAGAGAGATTCCTCATGTCTTGGAACAAGCCCTCCATCAGTATGGAACGCACATACCTCAACGTCAATTTCAACGTCTGAGGAGCAGGGTCAGAGAAGTATTGCAGTTGGCAAAGGTTACACCAGATATTGACACTGTGGTCGGTTATTAATACTTACGTGATTTCTTGAGATTTGTATGCCAAAATCCTGAAAAAGACATTACTCGTTAACGTCATGGGACCCTCGTTACAAAATGAGTAAAATTTTGCCATGTTTGCTTCCCATATCATTTTTCGTACTTTTCGTTTAAATTTGCCATTTAATTATTCCTTGAGTGTTGAGTTATCCAGTAACTTAAATTTAGGTCTGGATAAGTTCCGTAGCTATCATGGTAACGGTAACGGTAACATATTGATACCCAGCATGAATATGGGTATTGCGATGCTTTTTAACATGTGCATACATACCTGTCAGTGAAACGTTAACAGCTTAAAATGCATGTTATTTCCCTTTACCTTCAGAACATTAGCTATGAGTATGGCTACGAGATAATAGATAAACGGAGAGTGTCTGGTTATCCTTTCCGAATATTGAAGCTGTTGGCACTGGATATGAATTTTAGGTGAGTTTATTTACATACCCTTATAATATACACTACAAGGTACTGCAACCGCATAGACTTTTTATAGTGTAACACAGAATATTATGAAACCTTCCAGAACAGTTACACTATGTATAAGGGGCAGACTTTTCTGAAAACCACTCTGACCCACAACTTTTGTTTTCTGCAGGTCTTTGTGGCCGACAGCTTTTTTATGCCCAATAACTCAGAAAATATAATTCAGTAATTTCAGTTTTTATCTCGATCGGCGTTTGTTGTCTGTAAGTGAAACGACTATAATTTTCGAGGATGTAAGTTAGCAAATGTTGTCACATGTTTTGAATTACATATATTGTCACTAAAATATTGGGCCTGCACATTCTGATCAGGACCCACAACATTTTTATGGTTCTGGGTCCTTAGGGCCTCAAGCTTTTCAGGGGTAAGGGCGAACACTGGGTTTGATCATTCGTCAAAAGCTAATTCTTTAGATTAATAATATGGCTGAAATTCTGCCGATGTGACGTAAACATTTAAATCACTCACTCACTCACTTTAGTTATGGTATGTAAGAAATTTGCAAATGACGTGCACATAAATGGTAGGTAATACAGATTCATTGACGTCATGACATGTGCCCATTAAAATTACATATTTTTATTTTCTAATTATTATCCAGTTACTTTTGAACAATATACCTTTCGAGAATAATTGTAGAAACTATCAAATACATTTTGTCATAAAGTATACAATGTAGTGAGGGTTCTATTTGCCCATTTAGCATATTCATCACACATTCTTTGACACTGTACTGTATTTCTGCACGATAATATAACCCCTTTTTATGTAGGAAGCAGACTTGGCGTCGAACATCCTCACCATTCACACGGATCGTACTGACGTTTCCGAATACATTCTGCCTCATATCGGTGAAAACAAACGTCTGATCCTGTACAAGAAAGATACTGACGTAGATGAGGACCACCTGATGGTCCTTTTCCGGCCTTTCCAACCTGGTGTCTTTTCAATATTTGGAGGGTCATTTGTAATATACCTGGCTCTCCTGTCATCTGTGAGGTTAATTCACAAGGTGGGTGCACTCAGGAATTCCAAACCAAGCTCTACAATTCACGAAAATACAAAAGACAGGAACCCACCACGCGGCTGTGCAACACAGACTTTTATGTTAACATTTTGTGAAGTTTATGGAGCAGCTCTTAATCAAGGTGTGTAAAACTCTTATCACAAACTTAATATTCACCCAATTTTCAAACCAAAATTTTAAAACAGAACGGTAGTTTCGCCAGGTTTAAGTCATGATTCTGTAATCCCAGATTCACCGTAAATAATGTCCGTTAATTGTCTACATAATAGACTGGTAACCCGTGAAGAAACGGATTAGAATTAATCGTCAACAAAGCATGCTTGTCTTCAGTCACTACTAATGGGATCGGGTGGCCAGGCAAGCTCATGGTGTTGTCTCCCAGTTTCGAAAGACGATCATGTTAATGTCAGTCACTTGAGTCTCTGGTCCAAAATTTGTTGTTTACAGACTGACGTCATATATTTGCAAATTTCTGTTAAACAACAAACACGCGAGTGTGTATCAACTGCAAATTACATTTGGGACTTTTATACCGTCACGACTTCGTGTTTAAGATAACTTAGCTAATGATGCATGTACCATTCTGAATATGATACATAACACTGCAGCGGTGCTCATACAATTATTTGCATACAGGTTCCGCCTTAACTTTATCACACGACTCCGAACGGATCTTGATAGCGGGATGGTGGCCATTTACAACTATTATCTCTGCTGTTTACTGTGTGACCATGGTGGCAACCCTAGCAGTGAAAGTAGAAACACCACCATTTTCTAACCTGGCTGAATTAGTGTCCAGAAAGGATTATACGATAGGATATGATTCATCAAGCATCACCGAAAACGTCATTCAGGTAATATGAAAATTATATACATTACTGTCTTTCAAATGTCCTTTACAACACGTGTCTGATGGTAACTACCATAACGCAGAGTGTTGACTTATGGAGTTGTCAATGCATTATTTATTTCAGAATTCCAATCTATCGTATATGGTGGCATTCAAACAAAGAACTCGTGACCTCTTCATCACAGACCCTGTTCTTCTCGGTAGCAACATCACCAAGCATTTGCAGAGGCTTCAAATGGGCAAATACGCTTATATCACAGGCCTGTCAATCCTATCCGTGATTCGTTCTATGTGCGACTTGAAAGCGATTGATGCCGGATTTGGCGGTGAATTTACAGCTTTCCATGTACCGAAGTCTTCACCTTTCAAACCCGACTTCCAGAAAACGTATGTCCATGTTTAATTATAGCACATATATGGATATGACTGATAGATTTTACGTCATTCTGGGATACTCCATTACGTACCGTGCGGCTTGTTCACATTTCTAATTATTGGTTAATTCTTAGTCTGTGTCAGTCCTGAACCACGTTTATTTCCCTTCCACCCAGCCATCCCTGCAATACTAAAGCCTTAAATAAAGCAAGTCTTGATTCCCTGAATCTGCCAACTCACTAGGGCTCCTTTTCAATTTAAATGGGTTCATTTGTCCCTATCAATATTATATATATTCCGGGATTAAGCGTCAGTCTAGTAAATTCTGTGTGCTAACAGTGAAAACATTGACTAGTTTTATTGGAAGATATTGGAAACCTTTGAATTTTATCAATATGAAAATAAATAGTGTCTGTCAATATCAGCGCAGTATTAGCAGCCTATATTATATTTTAGTTTTTGGAAAAGAAACGAACTCTTATCCTCATTTGGTGATGTGATTCATTAGAATATTGTGGGCCAATGTAATTGGCAGGTGATGTACATGTGCAATTGCTTTGTGAAAGAAATCGAATCGCTTCACCTTTGTCAGTTTATGGTGAATGGAATAAGATAACAGCAATGTTTGAATACACTATATAACATCTTATATATTCTTCTTTCCCTCCAGCATGTACATTCTCCGGGATCATGGCATCTTGGATCGAGAATATCAACAATGGATGCAGTCGATCCCACAAAAAAATATGTCCAGTAGAGGAGTTCCCTAAGGCTGTGTCGCTGATGAATATTGAGAGTATCTTCTTTGCAGTGGGAATCGGAGTGGGCTGCTGTGTCCTGACACTGACGGCAGAAATTGTTTGGCACAGGACAAAGCGTGACTACTTTAAAAAATGAAAGGAGTTTGCTCGCGTTCATCTTCTTGTTGCTACGCGCTGCGCATGGAAGGATAACAATATATGAGTGATCAGCTTCTTCATTATCACACCCTCCTCATCAAGCACCACTTGTTTGATAACTGTATTAGAACCTACTGCGCTCCTATTGTTTTAACGAAGTTGAACATCCATATCTTGCTGTCCTTCCTTAGTGTTCCGAAATGTCTCTCATAGGAGTTACCCCGGGTATAACAGGGAAATGAGAACGTCTTAATAAGGGTGATGCTGGGTAGTAACACTTTTGTAGCCCTCCCCTATGGGGATTACAGCAGCCGCCAAAATGTTGATAAGCGGTTTTGGATATCCTGTAATTTCATTGGTTAATGACGCCTTGAGAAAGTTCATTTGACCACACACATCTTGTGCATTAATCTTCCTCCACAACCAAAGCTCTGTCCCTCGAAAACACAAAGTGTTCATTAAGAGATATATTTATTGATATAAATACCATTCACATGTGCGGTTTGCAATAATCAAATATGTAGAACATAGAAAGAAATTCCAATAGGAGCTAAAATACATATTTAATTGATTGACTAAAATTTCTGCCATCCCTGCATTTGAATAACAATGGCGACTTTCCTATCCTCGATTAAAGTGAACGATCTAGTGGACATTGACGGACATGTGGTTGGAAGACTAGGTAACATATAGGCATTGAACAGTTTGAACTGATCACGATTTGGTTTAACCCGTGTTTGTTTGCATTATTATTCATACCCTTGATACTTTGTCTAGCTGCAAATTGATTATTGTTGCTGAGAGGTAAATGTTACCATGATTGTATTTATTGTCGTAATGACTGCTCTTGTAATATATTTCCCTTACTATCTATGTTGTACTGCCATATTGATTCTTATTGATTAGTGATGTTAGACAGTTTTAGAATACAATTGTTGATTACATCACATATTTTGTTGTTGGTGTCACTGCTGGATCTTTTAAGGAACAA